GGCCATAGCATAAGCTCTTTGAGCCTTTGGCTCAGAAGAGCTAAAAACATCAAATGCTTGCTCCGTGAATTCTTTGACTGCACAGTAAAAATTGTATATTTTCAAAATTTTAGTAAATGGACCTGATTTTTTACATACTAATAAACAGATAAACAAAATATAAGAATTTAATCAGATAAATGTCATTTTTCAAAGTGTACAGTAAATTTTCCTTAAATCAACGTGTCCGCAAACTTTTCTAACAATCCTCGTTCATGTACATGCCCTTAGCACTGAAGTCATTTGAAATATGCACATATGTTAACATTTGTTGTTGTATATGCCAAAATAGCATTTCTCTCTAAATTATTTTGTAAAAGTACATATATTACAAGTTCTTAATGTATTAAGGCCTGATGTGTCCATAATCCTAGATGGAGGGACTTTTATCCTTGTGTGACTACTTAAATTTCACTATGCTGCTTATTCTTCATCATCTCCAAACAGATGCTCTTCTGGCAAATATGGTCATGCTTGGTATCAAATTTCAGTTATCAGATGGCAGTCACACCTATCCAAAAGAAATTGAAATTTCTCATTTAAAAAAAAAAAAAAAAAAAAATACAACTTATAAATGATAAATAGCGATATTAGTTTTACTCGGATAGCTAAGTCGAACAGTCAGAGGCTTTAGTCATATGAAAGTCGAGTACTCGTTGAAATTTAAATTAATTTTTCATGTCATTTTCCTTTTTGTCTTTAAGAGACTGCTAGCCTGTACAATATTTAAACTACGTTATAACCATTAAACAACAAATTATTGAATCATTAACATTTACGTAGTAATAAATAAATGTATCAAGTGTATTTGATTTCAAATATAATATTTACTGCCAGTGTTTTTTTTTCAGTACTTTGGGAATGGGGGCCCAGGGGCCCTCAGAATGGGGAATTTCAGCATCAATTAGGCTAAATTGGGAATCTCCCAGAAAGCCCAATCACTTAAAAAGCATTGTCAAAAAGCTTTGTTTTTGTCTTTGTATTACTTTAACAAACAATTGTTATAACTAATCAAGACTATTCTTGGTATGGATTATCTAATTACTTGCATCAAGAACAATAGTGGTATGAATTATCTAATTATGAAGAAATCCAACTTGGCAGAGGTGGCAGAGGATAGTTTTTTTTAATGCCAAACATGTGCTGAGGGGGTACACATATACATGCAATCCATAAAAACATGTACATGGGGACAAAAAAATTAGCCTACAATTTTAATGTTCTGCACATCTACAATGTATTAGTTACAAGTTCTTCAATTTTCATGCAAATATCATTTGTCGTTACTGAGATTTCTGCTGGACAAGAGACCCTCCAAATATCAATTAAAGGGCAATAACTCATGAATGGAGGTATATATCAAAAATTTGAAAGAACTCTTTTTAGGCAATAATACATTGTATCTACCCTTAAAGTTTCAAAGCAATCAGACAAAAGGTCTCTGAGAAATCGCCTGCTGAAAATCGGCGGGAAAAAAAAATAAAATAATAATAAGAAACAGTAGAATAACAGAGGGGTCTTCCGAAGGAAGCTCGGAAGACCCTAATAAAAATCAAAAAAGAAACATAAGAATAATAAGAAGGTCTGAAGACGGAAGACATTAATAATAACTTGAGCAAAGCTCGTTGCAAAGCAACAAGTAGGTCTTCTGTCTGATTCTCAATATCACTGCCTGTAAGATTGGTAAACAATGGTAAGCCATTCATTATGAAGAAGGATATGACCTAAAACGATGTCGATCTTCTTTCATATATTATAATGATTGAAATCTACACTGATATACATGATTTTAAGCAATTTATGACTACTTCCGGTTTAACCAGAAGTGAAGTTTACGGACAAAAATGAGGTCGGAAATCTTGGGTGATGTTAATCATTAATTTTATGTCAATATCTGCAAAAATAAATCATTTCTACCTACTTCCGGTTTAACCGGAAGTGGTTGACAATGACAGTACTCAATAGGAAATACAATCAGATGTCCTCTGTGAGATTCATTATTCTATACCACACCAAAATCTGTAAAATAAGAAATTTTTGACTACTTCCTGTTTGTCCGGAAGTGACGTCATTTGACGTCTTTTGACGATTTCACTAGCTGCTACTTGTCATTTCAAACAACTTTGCTTCTTTGTTACAAATTCTCAATACTTTTTGAGTTATTGAGAAAAAAATTTTGGCCCCTCTAGACCCCTTATTTTAGGGGCCAGCCCCATTTCCATGATATTGTTCAAAAGATCTTGTAATTCTGCACTCCTTTAGTTCTACATGTTTTAACAAAATATTTGCAGGTAAAGAGATATTGAAGAAAAAGTGTTAGAAATTTTGAAATTCTTGATATGCCTTTTTTCAGGCCATAGTGAGCGCCGGCGTGCAGCAATTCCGGTAAGAATGAAATACGTTTGTCACATCTACATATATTGTTCTATCATCGCTGAAAATCCCAAGGTTATTTCTTAAGCCATTTTTGAAAAAACTCGCGGACAAACTTAACCTCTAAAATTCATTAAAATGCAGAAATCTCGGAACCGGAAGTGACGTCATCAAAACAAAAAAATATAACTCTTGATTTTTTGATGTTCTATCAGACCTGAAAGCTTCATGAAAATCGAGCGAGACATATCTGAGAAAATCGCGTGCACAAAATTGGTAAGAAAAAGAATAATAACTAGAAACTCATTGCGAGCAATGAGAGGTCTTCCGTCCGATTCTGAAAATAAAAACGAAATTCAAGCTGAAAAAGTGATAAAAGAAATTCAGACACTGGAGATTTAACCCTAGTCGTCAGCGTGAAAATCCAACGTTCTAACCATTAACCATTCACTTTTTTGCATCACTTCCTGTCGAGACTGGAAGTAACGGCGACACACGATTTTCATACTATGCAAATAAACTGATGACGGATTATCAGTCCTGAAAGTTTCAGACTTCAGTCGTTTATTGTTGCCGAGGAATTGTGAGAACAAATTCTAATTTTGAGGACAGGAAAACATGCGACCGGAAGTGAATTTTATAAAAAATCTCTAACGTGTCTCTAGACATTCCAGTATCTACAACATGTATTAAAACATTTCAATTCTTTTTCTATAAGCGATATTTATGAGAAACTTAAATATCGAAATAATGTATTTTATTTCCTAAAACCGGAAGTTGACGTTTTAGTTTCCGGAGGATTCTAACATATTTTAAAACAGCGAAAGAGATGCAATAAGGTGATGCAAGTTTTTATTTAAACAAGAAAAGTTGGATTTTTTCATTTCTTTGATCACTTCCTGTGACGACCGGAAGTGACGGCTGACAGTTTAACCCGAATGTTATGCCTACTCTTCAAGGTCTATTACTCATATAAGTTTGTTGTCTTAATCTCTTACCGCTTCTGAGATCTCACTCAGATATTTTCTTACTTTGAGGACAGAAAAACACGCGACCGGAAGTGAATTTTGCAAAGATATTTGACGTTATTCTAGATATTTGCAATCTGAATAACATATCTAAAAATCATTTCAAATACTTTACCTATAAAAGATATTTATGGGAAAGTAAAATATTCAAATTATGTAGTTTTTCTCTTATAACCGGAAGTTGTCGTTTTTGTTTCCGGTGGGACCAACATATTTCGAAACTGCGAAAGAGTTGCAATAATGTGATGCAAGATTTGATTAAAAAAAGAAATGTTGAAATTTTCGATTTCTTTGAACACTTCCGGTGACGACCAGAAGTACTGACGACGAAAACCAAGGTAATTTCGAACATCTAAAAGTCATGGTCTATCATCTCTAACAAGTCTCCAGTTCATATCTTTAGCCTTTTCTTAGATCCTTCGAGGACAAAATTTCGTTTTAAAATCAGGAAATTGTCCATAACTTGGCACTGGAACCGAATTTACCAAAAAACGGAATTTTATATAAAATTCATATAAAGACCTTTTATCCCTGAAAATTTCAAAGAAATTCATTGAATAGTTTTTGAGAAATCGCGTGCACAAAATTTTGTCTAAAAAAAAAAGAATAATAAGAAGAAGAAGAAGAAGAAACAATAGAATCACTATAAGGTCTTCCGTGGAGACGGAAGACCTTAACTAGACGAGCTTTTTGCAAAGCAACAAATCAGTCTTCCGTCTAAATTTCAAGGAGATGAGATCGAGTTCAGGAGACATCTACGGTCATATGAGCAAGAATGAGCCATCTACCATTACTTCCAGTTTGACTGGAAGTGACGTCATTTTGATGACATTTAATGATCTCCTTAGCTGCTACTTGTCATTTTGAACAACTTTGCTTCTATGATGTTATACAAATTCTCAATACTTTTTGAGATATCAGGATAACATTTTTGGCCCCTCTAGCTCCCTAATTTTAGAGTCCAGCCCCTTATTGTTGATATCCTTTGAAGGATTGTGACATTCAAAACAACTTTTGTTCTATATGTTCTATATTTTTCAATGTTCTATCAGACCTGAAAGTTTCATGAAAATCGAGCAAACCGTTTTCGAGAAATCGCGTGCACAAAATCGGTAAGAAAAGAATAAGAAAAACAGTGGAAAAGAAACCTAAGAAAAACAAGAAGGTCTTCTGCTGAAGACAGAAGACCTTAAAAACTGTGGAAAAGAAACCTAAGAATAGCAAGAAGGTCTTACGCTGAAGACGAAAGACCTTAATAAGAAACAGTAAACACAATATGTTCCCAAACTCCGTTTGGGGAACATAATTATTATTGTGTCATCTGCATATTTCTGACCTGAGTGAACAACAGGTAAAAATGGTGAGAGCTGGCCAAGTTCAGAAATGTTTACTCCTTCGTAACTTGTATTATATGGTCACATATTTTGCCTCAATATAATTGGATCAATTGCTTATATCAATCTTTCCATGCTGAAACAATATATTTCTAAATAGATCTCTTAGAGATCCATTAATGAAAACTTTTGATGTAGCATTGGTACACATTTGGTTTGATTACAGTACTGTAGACAACAGAACAGGAGGCTTATGGAAGATCTCTTCTACCAGGAAGATAACTTCCAGGAGGAAGGGACTTGTAAGGTCATCAATAGCTTTAGACAAGATGTAAGTATTAATTTTTCTTATATCTCAGATAAATAAGGGATAAAGGACTGATTGTAATTGGGATGATTACATGTGTTTCCCATGTCATTCCCCTACACGCAAACCTCTAAATGAAGTATTTCTTGGAAAAACACAAGTTTACAACCATGCTCTGTGTACATAAATTAGTGCATTCAAAATTTAGCACTTGAAATTTCTTCAACTGATTAATACAATAATAAGTTGTGCAGTTGAGCCTTATAAATGACATGTACATGTTTAAGCTTTTATTAGATCACCTGAGCCAAAGGAGAAAATAAATACTGGCTTCATATTCACCTGGTCTGTGAATCCCTTCAGTCAAGCAAATTGGAGACTGGGATTGGATGCTTGTTTGACTGACTTCTAGTTATTTGTCTCTTTATAATTGTCTAGGGCATGTGCAAATTGTCAAATTAAATTTTGCATAAAGTAATTAGGCATTACAGTAAAACTCGGTCAATCGAAATTCTGGGGATCTGTGAATATACTTCGCTATATCCGTGATACCTTCAATACGTATAATGCATTCCTTAAAGTTTACATAGTGAATTTGCAATGTAGATTTTTTTTCATTCAAGTATGACTTCCAAATGTACTTAAGTTTTACTTATATTTGAGTTTCAAATATAAGTACAAAATCAGTCGCCCGCGTAGCGCATTGGTATAGTGTCTGATCTAGAGTCGTGGAGTAAGGAGTTGATCCTTAAGTCGCGGGTTCGAATTCCACTGTGGGATGTTGAGACAGGTCCTTTGGATGAGACTGCATAAACCGAGGTCCCGTGTCTCAGTAGATGCTGGCACGAAAAAGATTCCTCACTGCTCAATGGCCCTTAGTGTCGAGTATAGGTCATAATTTGCAGCTCTCTACCGGCAAGTGGTGGCATCTCCATATGAGTGAAAAATTCTCGAGAGGGACGTTAAACAACAAACAAACAAACATAAGTACAAAACTAGAAACTCATTGCGAGCAATGAGAGGTCTTCCGTCCGATTCTGAAAATAAAGACGAAAATTCAAGCTGAAAAAGTGAAAAAAGAAATTCAGAAACTCTGGAGATTTAACCCTGGTTGTCAGCGTGAAAATCCAATGTGCTAACCATTAACCATTCACTTTTTGCATCACTTCTGGTCACGACCGGAAGTAACGGCAACACACGATTTTCATACGATGCAAATAAACTGATGACGGACTATCAGTCCTGAAAGTTTCAGACTTCAGTCATTTATTGTTGCCGAGCAATTGTGAGAACAAATTCTAATTTTGAGGACTGGAAAACACGCAACCGGAAGTGAATTTTATAAAAAAATCTCTAACGTGTCTCTATACATTGCAGTATCGACAACATGTATTAAAACATTTCAATTCTTTTTCTATAAGCGATATTTATGAGAAACTTAAATATCGAAATAACATATTTTATCTCCTAAAACCGGAAGTTGACGTTTTAGTTTCCGGAGGAGTCTGACATATTTTAAAACAGCGAAAGAGATGCAATAAGGTGATGCAAGTTTTAATTTAAACAAGAAAAGTTGAATTTTTTGATTTCTTTGATCACTTCCTGTGACAACCGGAAGTGACAGCTGACAGTTTAACCCAAAGGATTTTGCCTACTCTTCAAGGTCTATTACTCATATAAGTTTGTTGTCTTAATCTCTTACCGTTTCTGAGATCTCACTCAGATATTTTCTCACTTTGAGGACAGTAAAACACGCGACTGGAAGTGAATTTTGCAAAGATATTTTAAGTTACTCTAGACATTTGCAATCTGAATAACATATCTAAAAATCATTTCAAATACTTTACCTATAAAAGATATTTATGGGAAAGTAAAATATTCAAATTATGTAGTTTTTCTCTTATAACCGGAAGTTGTCATTTTTGTTTCCAGTGGGACCAACATATTTCAAAACTGCGAAAGAGTTGCAATAATGTGATGCAAGATTTGAATAAAAAAAGAAAAGTTAACATTTTCGATTTCTTTAAACACTTCCGGGATGACCGGAAGTACTGACAACAAAAGCCAAGGTAATTTCAAACATCTAAAAGTCATGGTCTCCAGTTCATATCTTTAGCCATTTCTTAGATCCTTCAAGGACAAAATTTCATTTTAAAATCAGGAAATTGTCCATAACTTGGCACTGGAACCGAATTTACCAAAAAACGGATTTTTATATAAAATTCATATAAAGACCTTTTATCCCTGAAAATTTCAAAGAAATTCATTGAATAGTTTTCAAGAAATCGTGTGCACAAAATTTTGTCTAAAAAAAAAAAGAATAATAATAACTAGAAACTCTGAAATTCTGAAAAAAAAAAAACGAAAATTCAAGCTGAAAAGTGATAAAAGAAATTCAGACACTTTGGAGAATTACCCCTGGTCATTAGCATGAAAATCCAACGTGCTTACTATTAACCAATCACTTTTTTGCATCACTTCCTGTCACGACCAGAAGTAACAGCGATACAAGATTTTCTCACGATTCAAATAAACTGATAACTGACTATCAATCCTGAAAGTTTTAGACTTCAGTCGTTTACTGTTGCTAAGCAATATTGTGAGAACAAATTCTAATTTTGAGGACAGGTAAACACGCGACCGGAAGTGAATTTTATAAAAAAAAAATCTCTGACTTTTCTCTAGACATTTGCAGTATCTACAACATACATAAAATTATTTCAAGTACTTTATCGATAAGAAATATTTATGAGATAGTTATATATAAAAATAACGTAGTTAATTTCCTAAAACCGGAAGTTGACGCTTTTGTTTCCGGTGGAATCTAGCATATTTCAAATTAGCGAAAGAGATGCAATAAAGTGATGCAAGTTTTAATTTAAAAAAGAAAAGTTAAAATTTTTGATTTCTTTGATCACTTCCTGTGACAAGTGGAAGTGACGACTGACACGTTTAACCCAAATGGAATCGCCTACTCCTCAAGATCTATTACTCATAAAAGTTTGATGTTTTAATCTTTTACCTGTTTTTGAGATCTCGCTCAGACTTCTCATTTTGAGGACAGGAAAACACGCGACCGGAAGTGAATTTTTGAAAGATATTTAAGGTTATTCTAGACATTTGCACTCTGAATAACATATTTAAAATTCATTTCAAATACTTCATCTATAAAGAATATTTATGGGAAAGTAAAATACTCAAATTATGTAGTTTTTCTCTTATAACCGGAAGTTGTCATATTTGTTTCCAGTGGGATCAACCTCTTTCAAATCTGTGAAAAAGATGCAAAAAAGTTATGCAAGTTCTAATTAAAAAAAGAGACGTTGAAATTTTCAATTTCTTTGATCACTTCTGGTGACGACCGGAAGTGACAGCTGATGCTCTTAACCCAAATGGTTTTGCCTACATCTTAAGTTCTGTTGCTCATACAAGTTTGGTGTCTTAATCTCTTACAGTTTTCAAGATCTTGCTCAGACTTCTCATTTTGAGGACAGAAAAACACACGACCAGAAGTGAATTTTACAAAGATATTTGACGTTACTCTAGACATACGAAGTCTGAATAACATATTTAAAATTCATTACAAATACTTTATCTACAAAAGATATTAATGGGAAAGAAAAATACTCTAATTATATCGTTTTTCTCTTATAACCGGAAGTCTTTTTTGTTTCCGGTGGGACCAACATATTTCGAAACTACAAATAATAGGGGTGCAACGATACACTAACCTCACGATACAATACGTATCACGGTATTCAGTTCACGATACGATACGTATCACAATACATGACAAGGTTAAAAAGTCTTTCAAGTTTGTCATCATATTTTTTTTTAACTTGACAGGTTTATATAAAATGTTCATATTTTTTAATAATAATTAAAATAAAATTTTGTTAACTTGAACTGGATTGTTAGGTAGATCTTGGAGTTTTGACAATATTCTAAACCAGTGATGAACATTTACAGGGAACTATGGGGACCTTTCCTAATAATCTTCCTTTTAAAGTGGAATGAAAAGGGAAGACAATTATTCTTTTATTCCTTTTATTTACGTAGAAAACCAGTGGTCATATTTCTCGTGTTAACACGTTTTAGTCAAAAAGACAGTGAATTATCATCGAAATACACACATGATGAAATATTGTTTATTACCAAAGAATACGTTTAGATCTAAAGGATTTATCATTTGTCTTAACATCTAATATGTTGACGGTGCGACCGTTAGGGTGAGCGCAGATACCTTTCAGTTTTCATTACTTAGATCGGGCTCATCAAACCGCACATGACATTTGCTATGTCTAGACTCTGACGTCATATGACTTCGTCTGTAAGTTGCAATAGCCAACCAAAACGAATTGTGAACAGTGCTAATTTTAATCAAGAACGTTTATTCTACTATTTGTCTGCTATATATCCATTAAATCAAGGTGATTTTATTTTTTGTTGAACATTACTGCTACCACGAGAACGTAGTTTCCAACGAGATGTAATTCGCTAAGCATTATGGGACCACAGGTAACTGCGGAAAAAAATTCATTTGGATCAATGTGCAAGTCCGAATTTTCTCTTCGCCCAGGAGTTGCTTTAAGAGCTCGCAGTGACGAGCTGCGCTTCGCACCACTCGCTATAACTTATATCACATTAAGTCCTTCTCCGTGTTAAATCTGAGGTCTGTAAGATGCTGGAGATGAGTTAATGCGGTATCTGGCGACCTCACATTCTGCACGGAAGCCATTTTGAAATTGTAAGAAAAGGAAACAAAACAGACGATTCGGATAAATCTGGACCGATTGAACCGAACTGCGATATCAGTTCAGCGTTTCGTGAATTGAACCGTGGAAAAATATACTGCGATATACCATCAAATGGTTTATCGTTGCACCCTTAACAAATAAGATGCAATAATGTGATGTAAGTATTTATTTTAAGAAAGAAAGTTGAAATTTAACAATTTCTTTGATCTCTTCTGTAAGAGACCGCAAGTGCCGACGACATACGAAAAGTAGCGACCCTGGTAGTAT